TGCACTAGGCAGCGACGGTCGGAGTAGCGGTGGAGACCGGCGGTGGTGGTGGAGGCAGTGGCGCTTCCCGCCGCTGGCAGTGCCACCCTCTGGATCGGATTAGGGTTAGGACAGTGGGGCTGTGGCGGCGGTGAACCTCGTTTACAGAGCCGTTTGCCCCACCTCCTCTTTATAGGCACTGTGCGACGGGGGCCCACTAGCCACTAGATGGCTAGACGTCCCCGATCAGGACGCGGTCAAGGGGTCCGTCTCGACCGTTGGGTCAAAACGGATGAGATCAATTCTAACATCAGTCGGTCAATAAAAATTAAAAAGTATGATTTTGCCAACCTGCTGCCACTTTGAGCACCTAACATAGGATTAATATTAGGAAAAGACGCGGCACACATTGACTGAAGACCACGGAAGTTTGAGTCAGTCGGTCAATAAAAATTAAAAAGTATGATTTTGCCAACCTGCTGCCACTTTGAGCACCTAACATAGGATTAATATTTGAAAAAGACACGGCACACATTGACAGCAACGCCGTATCTATTTCCAATCTTGTGCAAATATACATAGGATTAGCAGGTGAGACTAAACTGAATCACCACACCTCTATCTGGGGTGCTCACTTCTCACTTCCTTGGTGTCCTCGCGTGTGTTTGAGAGAGATACGAGAGGGATGGGCCTCATCAGCCTCACGAGTGCCGTGGACTGGTGGGAGGAGTGGCAGCTGCGAGTCCTCGTCCTCAGCAGTCTGGCCGTCCAATTCCTTCTCGTCATTTTGAGGGTTGATACATACTGTGGCCCTGTTTGGATGTGCTAAAATAAGCTGCTAGATGCTTACAAGGCCAAATATGAGAACACCTTAATATATATTATATATTTCATTTGAGGGTTGATACATACTGTGCCCTGTTTGGATGGGCTAAAATAAGCTGCTAGATGCTTACAAGGCCAAATATGAGAACACATTAATATCATTCAACAGGTAATATGCTAAATCGAATATATATAACTTACTGCTACAATTGGAAGCACTTAAATGTCCTCAATGCTAGATGAAATTACAAATTGTCCTTGTTCGTTGCATAGTAGTAAGGCAACTACATCATGGAATTTCACAAATACTCCAAACAAATTGAAACGCTGCCACAGAGGAGTACCAACACTAAGGAAGAGCACATTGTAGATGTCTATCACCAAGTGGCACAGCCATGTCACCTCCCTTTGGAAAGATCAGTTATAGCTAGGGATGAAAACGGATTGGATACGAACGGATATCACTCATATTATATTTGTTTTCATATTTCTGTTCGGATTCGGACACGGATAGCGTTCGGATACATATACGAATACAGATTGACTCGGTTACGGATACGAATAATGAGTATCGAATACGGTATGAATCGGATTCGGAGAAGGTCGGATACAAATATTATATATATATATATATATATATATATATATATATATATATATATATATATATATATATATATATATATATATATATATATATATCATACGTCATAAACCATTACACCACTCTATGAGTCCATAATCCATCTAGATTAAGCCGAAAGACTAAAGAGTAAAGCAACAAATAAGATAAAGATCTGTATACATCATACATCAAACATCATACAAGCACCCATCTTCGCGGCATGAGTAGAAATAGCCAAGCTCATGGCTTCATGGGTCTCATGGAGTCATGGTCATGGATTCAAGATCTACAATCCTTATATAGGCCATTTTTTTCATTTGAGAAAGTTTGAACAAAATGTAGTTCAAATTTCACAAGTGTGTGACATAGTTTTAGAAAGTCTGTATGAGATTCAAGAATTTGTGACTAGTGTTTGATAAAACTTTCTCAAATAGGAAAATGAGCTATGTAACAATTGTAGATCTTGCTGAGATGATCAAACTTGGTATTCAGAGTTTTTTCATCTGAGGTCATTTAGTGTCTCATTTGAGCAAGTTTGACCAAGTCAAATTTGGTCAAATGAAAAAACAATATTTTGACTCTAGTATTATGAACTCTAAATGACTTCAAATTGAAAAGTTTTGAATACCAAGTTTGTTCAACTCATCAAGATCTACAATTCTTGTTTTGGTCAACTTTCCATTTGAGATAGTTTGGACGGTTCAAATTTGTGATTTTTAAATTTCGATGCTTACAAACTAGTTTTCGGAACCCTAGATTGTCTCAAATTTAAACGTTTTGAATACCAAGTTTGTTCAGCTCATCAAGATCTACAATCCTTATAGAGGCTATTTTTTCATTTGAGAAAGTTTGAACAAAATGTAGTTCAAATTTCACAAGTGTGTGACATAGTTTCAGAAAGTCTATATGAGATTCAAGAATTTATGACTAGTGTTTGATAAAACTTTCTCAAATGTGAAAATGAGCTATGTAACAATTCTATATCTTGCTGAGATGATCAAACTTGGTATTCAGAGTTTTTTCATCTGAGGTCATTTAGTGTCTCATTTGAGCAAGTTTGACCAAGTCAAATTTGGTCAAATGAAAAAACAACACTTTGAGTCTAGTATTATGAACTCTAAATAACTTCAAATTGAAAAGTTTTGAATACCAAGTTTGTTCAACTCATCAAGATCTACAATTGTTGTTTTGGTCAACTTTTTCATTCGAGATAGTTTGGATGGTTCAAATTTGTGATTTTTAAATTTTGATGTTTACAAACTAGTTTTCGGAACCCTAGATTGTCGCAAATTGAAAAGTTTTGAATACCAAATTTGTTCATCTCATCAAGATCTACAATCCTTATATAGGTCATTTTTTCATTTGAGAAAGTTTGAACAAAATATAGTTTAAATTTTACAAGTGTGTGACATAGTTTCAGAAAGTCTATATGAGATTCAAGAATTTGTGACTAGTGTTTGATAAAACTTTCTCAAATGGGAAAATGAGCTATGTAACAATTGTAGATCTTGCTGAGATGATCAAACTTGGTATTTAGAGTTTTTTCATCTGAGGTCATTTAGTGTCTCATTTGAGCAAGTTTGACCAAGTCAAATTTGGTCAAATGAAAAAACAACACTTTGACTCTAGTATTATGAACTCTAAATGACTTCAAATTGAAAAGTTTTGAATACCAAGTTTGTTCAACTCATCAAGATCTACAATTGTTGTTTTGGTCAACTTTCCATTTGAGATAGTTTGGATGGTTCAAATTTGTGATTTTTAAATTTTGACGCCTATAAACTAGTTTTCCATTTGAGAAAGTTTGGACGGTTTAAATTTTGAAGCACTAAATGATTTCAAACGAAAAAGTTGTAAACAACAAAGTTTTATAACTTTTTGAGATTTATAATTTTTATTTTGATCATTTCTCCATCCAAGGTCGATTGAATAATATCCGGATAATATTCGTTTTTAAATATCCGGATATATCCGATACTTATCCGGATTATCCGATATCCGCCGGATATCGATGATATTACATCCGTATTTGATATCTGCCTAAGATATCCGTTTTAGTATCCGTATCCGAAAAAAATTACGGATATCCGAGTAACTATCCAGATAAGTGTTCATATTTGTTCGGTCGAACGGACGGTCGAATAAATATCCGTACCGTTTTCATCCATAGTTATAGCGGTCACCGGACATGACTTGGCAACCTGATTGTGCTTTTCATCTTGACAATCCTGCTGACCCAGATCACTACTCAACAAAGTATCAGGCTGCAAGTCTGCTGGGAGCGATGCATCCCTCTCTAGGTACTGCATGACAAGGTGCATGCGAGGCCGAGCATTAGGCAAGGGGTGTGAGCAGAGCAAGCCAAGCTTCAGTACCAACTCCATCTCCTCCTCTATGTAACCATCCAATCTTGGGTCGGTGGCTCCGGTGATGGAACCACCTCGCCATGCAGCAATCACCCAGTCTGCCAGAGAGATTGGCCGTCTTCCACAGGCAACCTCCATCATCAGCACGCCGAAGGCAAACACGTCAGTTGCTTTGGTTGCCTTGCCAAGCCTGGCCAGCTCAGGGGCAATGTAACCCCATGTTCCTGCCACACGTGTGGTGTGAGCATCAACTCCATGATCCTGGGACCTTGCAAGACCGAAGTCGCCTAGTCTTGCATTCATCTCGTTGTCGAGAAGGACATTGCTTGTTTTGATGTCTCGATGGATGACAACCTGCTCACACTCCTCATGAAGGTACAAGACACCAGATGCGATGCCTTTGATGATGTGGAACCTTTGAGCCCAGCATAGACTGGTTGTGTTGTGATGGTTTTGAGTATGCAAGTAGGAATCAAGGCTTCCATTAGGCATGTAGTCGTAGACTAAAAGGAGGTGTTGCTTATGGCGACAGTACCCAAGCAGCTGAACGAGATTGCGGTGACGAAGACGGCCGAGGATGACGATCTCAGCCATGAACTCCTTCATCCCTTGCTTCGACTCTGGCGATATGCGCTTGATAGCAACTGTCTGGTTGGAATGGGGAAGCAGTCCTTTGAAGACACTCCCAAAGCCTCCTTTACCAAGAAACACACTGTCCTTGAACCCACTGGTAGCAGCAAAGAGGTCATTGTAGGTGAAGGATGGAGCCCCATACTCCTTCTCCCACTCTAGTTCAGTTTTTCTTGCTTGTAGCCGCCTCTTCATATGGACCATGAAAAGAGAAGCAGAAACCACTATAGCAATTCCAAGAGTTGGTAAAATAGTTGCTAACAATATTGTCATGTTGCTGCGAGGGCGAGAATGAATTTGTGCAGCAGCAGGCACTCGTGGCGGCACAAGGTCTTCGATAGTACTCAAAGATAGGGCAGAGTAATTGAGCGGTGCAGCTTGTCCGTGGAGCTTGAAGCTCCAACCAAGAATGTAAGGTTTGCTGTCAAGTGTGCCAGTTGCGGAGGAAAATCCGACAAACGCTGGCGTGGTCACGCCGCCGCCTGCTCAATCCCACGCCTGTGCGGGCTCCACACTCGCCGGCTCATCCACTGCAGGGGCCAACCGCCGCTGCCTGCTGCTGTTGGCGACCGGAGATGGACGGGGAGGAAGAGAACATCGGGCCATGCCGCCGGACCAGCGCCCGCACGCGCCGCATGGCATCCGCGCTCGCCAGCTCTGACAACCGCGCCCAGGTAAAGAGTGGATTGGAGTCACGACTCCTGCTTCCCCCCTCTTCCTACTATTCCAATCAAGCCGTTTCCCTCTCGTTCATGAAATTATTCCCCTTTATGTTCTGCTGCTTAGGTAGGTTGCTTTAGCTCGCCTTGAAGCTCTTGAGAACGATAATGCCGGGGTTGAGGTGGTAGATCTTAATGATGATGAGTACGGATCCACGGATGAGGAAGACCCTGGTCAGTTTCGTTTCTCATTTAGCCTCGTAGTAATAGTAAAGTCATGGTGTGAAAAAAGGATAAGGTAGATACAGTATGTACAAGCTCGATGACAAAATGTTACTCTTTCCAAACGACAAGTACTGAAACACAGATTTCTTGTGTACAGCATATTTTGATATCGCTTCTAGTATCAATTTTGCAGAGGAAAAAAGAAACAACAACATTGATGTAATTGGACCCACTGATCAAGCTGCAGAACAAGAATCGATGCAAACATAGCAATGATACTGAATAACAAGCGGGGGTGCTAACACGGGCATCCAAGCTGTCAGTCATTGGATGCTCTGGATGCAAACTTAATTTGACGCTATAGCTATTTTGAGGTGCAGCACCAACAGTATTTTCACGTGCATATTTGTAAAATCTTCAAGCAAAACAAACTAGAAACCTGTAAACTTGCGACTAGATAATGAACCGTTCATATATTTTAAAAATTGCACTTATTTGCTAAAATAAAGAGGGGGTAAAACGACATTACAAAGACTGGAAGGTCAACACAATACAACATTGCACACAGCTTTTTATTACACTGATGAGGAGCAAGACCGGAAGAGAGTCAGAGTATGATGTAGCACGTCGACAACCGGCTTGCAAAGAAAAATGGATCGGAAATCGGAATATATGCTAGCCTGGATAAGGTGTCAAACCATATCGTCTGCAGCTTCGCAAATCTCGGAAGTGGGTGTCGATGCAGTGCCATTGTTCTTGTTCCCTCCCTGGCTTGGAAGGTCCTCCCTCTGCAGCCTGTCCGCGCAGATGGAGTCCTCATCCCGATTCAGGTCAGACATGTCGTTGTTCCCTGCTTCATCATGGCTTGGAGGCTCCTCCCTCTGCAGCCTATCCGGGAAGGTCCCCATCCCCATGTGAAACAGCAGGAGCCAGACATAGGAGAGGAACTCACCGCCATTGCCCAAAGCCTTAGCTAGCAGGTAGCCTCTACATCTACTACTGGCGGAGTAGCAGAGCATCTCCACCCAGACACCTTGGATCACTTCCCACATCTTCTCATCACCCAATCCATGGCCTAATTCGAGCAACCCTTGGGCAAGAGCCCACGCGTCATCGATGAAATTTTCTTGTCTAGGACTTTCCTTTGACTCCTCTTCACAGCCCTTTTTCGACTCCTTCTCAGAAGCTCTATCTTTTGACTTGTTCAGCATAGTACTTATTATTACTCTCTTCATAATCTTTTTCTTTTTCACTGGTGCAAGTTTCCACTGACTCCATCCGATTGGATTCCGGTTGCTGTCCCTAAGGATCTCCTTCAGCTCTTTCGTAGCGTTTCTTACTCTTATGTACACATTCTCCTTCTTATCCTTTAGGATATCCTTGATCTTGTTATAAGCGACTGCAAACTTGTTTTCCCCCGCGGAGTATATCCCTGAGGTCATCGTAGGCGGCTGTAAAGAGGTTCCGCCTAGTGCCAGGCAATAGCATCTCAGGATTCACAAACAGAAGGTACACCATGTAGTTGGACATTTCTCTGCATTGAGATTTAATCTGGGTGTAGTTGTTGACAGATGAACTGGTACACCATGTAGTTGGACATTTCCCTGCTTCTCCCGCCTCTTCGTGTTTTGTTTATCTCTGTAATCCTCGTCAATATTGTTGTTGTTGGCACCTCAGCAGAGGCAGATATGTGCTCTGAAACTGAAAAGGAGCTCGAGAAGAAGCAGCAGAAATCAGTGGCGATGTGCCAGAGGAGGACACACTCATCAAACGGGAGTGGCCTCCTATTCATCCTCAGGCCCGACGAGACTTTGGCTGCTGCGATTTTTTTTAACACTTTTTTTAACTATTTTAAAAAATAACGCTGTTTTTTTTCTTCAAAACTAACATTTTTGGATGCACCAATTAACATGGTGCGGCCAAACCACTTTGCCGCACCATGCATGGCGGCGCGGCCAGGCTCCCACCGTGGCAGGCCCCAGTAAAGGCACGTGACGCGGTTCTCTCTCTCCATTCCTTTCTTTTACTTTCACGCGCCAGACGCCCGCGCCCTTCGTCTGCCGCAGGTAGCCGCTGGTCGCACCCTCCCTTGCTGGCCCCCTCCCTACCTTCTCCGAACCTCATTCTCGACCTTGTCAAGGTAATGAAGCTTCTTCTCGGCCTCAACGGTGGATCGAAGAATTTGAAGGAGTAGTTAGGGTGTGGAGGAAAATATGAGTTCGTTATAACGTTGGATTGAAGGATTAGGATTGCTAATGTTAAAGTTAATTGGTTAGTTAGAATTATGATTACCATGTATTCTAAGATTAATTTTTATAAGAATTTTGCTTGTTTGAGTTTGCATCTCAACTTTTATATGTGAATAAATATATGGACACACTGTTGATGTACCAAATTTTATTTTGTACTGACCAAAGTATAGTTTTTATATAGTTTTCATGTTTGCATCTAAGATAGAGTTTGCAACGAAGTGTAGGTTATATTTTATTTATTGTAATGCAAATGGTTCTCATTGATATTAATTTGTGATGTTTTTAATTTTTGTTTGTTAAATTACAACCGTTTTGTTAGATGCAAGAAATATATCGGGAGAACTTTTGGCGAAAACGGGGTCGTCCTCGAGAATTATACCCCGACGCGTCTAGCAAAGATGCCCCCATCCCTCCTGACCCCCCTGTCCCTAACTGTGATTGTGGTTTTCCGGCCGACGTGTTTCAATCGAGACATTCAGACACAACGGCGCGTTGCTTCTACACATGCAGTCGTTTTAATGTAAGTAATTGTTTTCACTATCTTTTTTTCTTCATTTGTGTAAGTAGGCTACTAATATTTTGTTGAAATCTTGTTGTGTAGGCCCATGAGAGGTGTTTTTTCTTTCAGTGGATCGACGGTGCAGACAAGTTTGACCCTAGGTACCTCCTTTTCGACGATTGATGTAGAGGGAGACATCCACGTGAGCACTTCCAGCGGTGGGTTCCACCCCCCCTAACCCCCCGTCAATGACGGCTAAGGAGAAGCACCTAGCCACAGTTATACGACTCGAGGAACCTCCTCTGTGTGAATGCGGAGATCGAGCTGTGATAAACCCTAAGAATACGTTAGAGTTTGTGTGTCCGAACAAACACGAAGTAAGTGAAAAGCGTATCTGTTTAAATATTTATCTCTATATGTGTGCGTGTACTAATGTATTCTCTTGTAGCGTTATAGATTTGCGAAGTGTCGTTTCAATTAGTGGCTCTACGGTCCTAAGAATCAATGGCCGGAGCCACCAAAGGCATAGGAAAAGAAGAAAGAAATATTAATTTACAAAGCACCTCCAGTCAAGTGCGAATGTGGTGTTAAATCCAACTACGGTCTAGTCCCTTCGGAGCTTAGAATAGGCTATTATTGCGGCCATATGGTTGATTATGATGAGGTTGGTTATTTTTGTGGTAAACATGAAATCGTATTTTGTTTCTTTTGCTAAGACATATATGATATAATTTTCCGTTTGAATAGAGCACTAGGAAATGCAGGTGGGAATGTTATGATGGTCAAGCTAAGTTCTTGGATGAACTGAAGGGGAGGCATGTAATTGCACGAAAGAGGGGATATGGACCTGACTACGTCAACCTATTCGTTAAACATCATAAAAAGAAGATGCGTGAGTTTGCTAGATAGCGCTGTATTCGTAACCCGATCGATGTTGCGCTTGACAAATGTGGATTGGAGAGACGGAGGGCGTTAGAGGAGGAGAGGGCAAGGAAGGAGGCAAGGGAGGAGGAAAGAGTACAGATACAGATCTTGAACAACCATGTTATTGCATTGTGTGGCAGTGAGTCATTGGAAGCCTTGTTATTTTCATTGCCTGCTTTTAAATGTAATATAATCGCGTTGCTAACTTGTTGCATTTCATACATGAAGGGATTAGATGTAGCGAGGACCATGCCGCAGAGGTGGCCCGTGCAAGATTTGAGGAAAGAAGTTACATGAGCATAGAACGCGAGCTGGTCACACCGTTCAATCTCCGATTGTGTTGTCTGATGAGGGGGACGAGGATGAGGACAACACTGTCAAGTTGAGCGATCTCATCGCTCTAGCTGAGGTTGGCTTGCAGACGGAGGAGGCTGAGGACGACATTGGCAGACTGAGCGAGCTCATCGCTCTAGCAGAGGCGGGCTTGCAGGCGGAGGAGGATGACGACGCATTCTTCTCTCAGGCCGCAAAGGCCGCAGATGAAGCGAAGCCCGCTTACTACAGACGACAGTCAGATCAAGGCAATGCAGGTGAGCCTAGCCACATGAGCTAGACGGAGGAGGACACATTCTTGACTCAGGCCACAGAGGCCGCAGGTGAAGCGGAGGCAGCTTACTACAGGCGACAGGCAGATCAGGACAATGGAGGTAAGCCTAGCCACAACAATGAGGTAGTGATAGAGGACTGGTACTCGGACGACGAGTTGCTTACTCAGTATATTTTAGACTGAGGATTGGTAGAGGTGTGGTAGATGATTGGTACAGGTGTGCTAGTTCAATGCTTTAGATTTGGTATTTGTATTGTAGTAGAACTTTCTCGGTGCTGCATTGTGTTTTATTTGAACTATTTATATATTGTACCCATATAACAAACACTGTTTAATTTTTGTAACGGACATTGTGTTATCTCATAAAACTTTCGCCACAAACAATTGTATTACAATGCTGCAATTTGCATGTATTTGTTATGTTCTCGGTATATAATGCTTTTGCTTTTGTCATGGTCACACATTCTTGTATTACTTTTGGGTCTTCATTTGGTGCCCATCTTATTCAAACATTATCTAGAAGACTATACCAATTACTAATGACCATTGCGATCTTTCGAAACCCCCTAAATTATATGCATCAAAATCTTGCTACTGCTGATGCGCTCAGAAGGGAGTCTGGCCAGCGCCTAGCATGGGTTTGCCGCGCCACCGTCCACGGCGCGGCTAGGCTGACGTGCCAGCTGCCATGGCGCGGCAAGACTGACGCGCCAGCCGCCATGGTGCGGCAAGGCTGTCGCGCCCCAGGCATGGCACGGTGGTCAAAGCGACAGCAAATGGAACAAGGCACTTCTATTATGTTCTCACATGAGCCAAGTTATTTTGTCGTGTCGGTTTAATGAATAGATCAGCAGGAAGGTTAAGTGCATGAGACAATCAATACACAAGTTCAGCAATACTAACTTGTACACGTCCCAAGTTTATCGCAAGTATGACAGTACATCTGTTTGACATAAGTTCAGCAAGTCATAACTATGACATAAGTTCA